TCTCTCTGTCCTCCTCTCCAATCCACTACTTAGGTAAGATCTTAAGCATTTCTCACCTGGATTACTGCACCTGCCTCCTCATGAAATCCTTCCAGTAGCTTCCAATCCTCTTAACATGGCCTAAGGCACCTGATACAGTCCACCTACTTCTCTTTTCTCTCTTAAGCCTCTTGTCTAGAGACTTTCCTAACTACTTAAGGGCTTGTAGTTCATTAAAATCCTTGCTTTTTCATCTCCCCATATGCCTTCACACATCCAGAATCTTCTGCCTAGACTATCTTTTTTGTATCTCTTTCTTTAGCTAACTGCTACTTGTCCTAAAAATTCTCAGCACAGATACCTTCTAAAAAGCAATCCCTAATAATTCCCCATTTTCAATTCAAGCTTGGGCTAGATGAGAATCTAATATACCTTGTAGCAACCCACGTCTGACTGTTATGGCATTTTATATTGTGAGCACTAATTTCTGTATCTTTCCAATTGTGTCTCTGTGTATGTGTGTGTGTATGTGTGCATGTGTGTGTGTATGTGTGCGTGTGTGTGTGTGTGTGCGTGTGCATGTGTGTGTGTCTGTGTGTATGTCTGCATATGTACTAGTTGTTTTCAGCCCAACCCTGAAGGCTTTACCAGAATCTGTGTGAGAAGAGGCATGCGGCATTTGGAAAGGTTTCCCAGGTGATTCCCATCCAATTTTTTCCTGTTGTGAGGGACAGGTTTTAGTGGGGGAGAGACATCCCCAGCACCTAGCACAGAACTTGACACATCATTGGTGACCATTATATGTTTGATACTGATGGTGACAAAGGCTGCTGGAGTGAGAGGTCTGTTTTTCCTTCAGTAGATATCATGAGTAGACATTTCACATTTATAAGTAGGAACTCAACATAATAGAGTAATACATTAAGAAATTAGGTTGGTTTATATATGTCACACTGAATCCTGGACAAGAGATTGCAGAATTTGCAAAGGATATGGGACTACCAGTGAAACTGCCCAGAATGACTTTCAGGCAGCAGCTAGAAACACAGACAGTCTTTATGAGGCTCTTGGGGGAAGGACCTAAAAGGTCATCTCTATGCTAGATGGTGGCATAATTGCCCAGTGCTCTTCAGCCAGATATCTGAGAACTCTTCTGCCTGACACAGCCAGGTTTGGTTCTGGATATGGGGGTCCTGACTGGAGCAGCATGCTATGAGTTTGGGAGAACTATTTCTCAGCTCAATTTAGTCTGGCGTAATACTGTTCACAGGAGGGGGACTCGTTTTAGCCTGGGTCAGTTCCTGACTTACCTACTTCCAGACTGATTCTTGTGCATGGCATCAACGACCAAATTCTATGCAAGAGTGAACATACCAACACCTCCCACAGCATTCATTAAGTCAGAATTTTGGAAAAGGTGAGACTGTCTTTCAGGCTTAATTTATTTCTGTTGATTTGTTTTGTTTGATAACAGCATACATTTAGAAGATGCTTGTTCTTCACTTTCCAATCTCCTTTTAGCCTTTGTCAATAACCTTGCAGGCTCCCCACAGGTGGTTCCATTTGTAATCCATTTGACACAGCGAGACTATCATAATTAATGAACCTCCCTACAGCACTGCCAGTGACCTAGAATGTAGGACAGGAGGGGTGCTGAAGCAGTGGAAAGAACAGCGGGCCGAGAGCCAGGAGATCTGGCCCTTGTCTGCAGCCCGTGGCGGAATTCAGCTGCGCAAGGGTGGCTCGTTCTTTTGTGCATCTCTTTGCCTCTAGTCTTAAACTGGATGGATGGGAAAGAAAAGACTGTCTAAAAATGAAGGCATAATCACTAACCATTAAAATTCCTGCCCTTGGCCACCTTCCTTTCTTACATAAGAAAGTTGATTTAAAGTAAACTGTTGTTGAGTCCACTGAAAGTTGATTTAAAGTAAACTGTTGTTGAGTCCACTGAAAGTTGATTTAAAGTAAACTGCTGTTGAATCGAGTTTTGACTGTAGTAGAAAGAGGAGAAGGTAGGATTAAATCTTTAAATGCTGAATAAACATGGAACAGTTTTGGAGTTGAGGGCTGAGAAGGAGCCTGGAGAATAGGAGACTCAGCAGCATTTTTATAGGTCAGGGGTTGAGATGGAAAAAATGGGGACCAGGAGTGGTAACTTTTATCTTTTTTCTCATTTAAAGACCCATGTAAATAGAATAAAAATAGAAAAGAAATAAGCAGTTAGAAAACAGATGGCTTTCTATAATGGTTTTCATCCCATTAGAATCATGTTTTGACAATAAGGTCCTGCAGAAAAGAACTGGAATACTTTTCTCCACATTTTGCCCTGCACCATTTTCTGCACATATTAACCTAGACCTGTATAATAAATAAACCACCTGAAAAGAATTCCAGGAAGGAATTGGGGAAGCCTCTATGGTCTATCTCAGTCTACGTAGAAAGAAGAATCTATGATGTCTTCATTAAAGGTGCCGTATGCATCTGTCAAAATGTTCCCAGAGAGACTCGTCAGGTTCCCTCTGGATCCTCCAGTTCAGACACAGTCCCCTTCCCCAATGGTCAGCTAAGTAGGCTGTGAGGTCATGTTAAACACATACAGAACAGAGATGTATTGTCGCATGTGAAGGGTTCCCATTTCTCCCCTCAGGGAAGAAGCTCAAATTTCCCATAATCCTTTACTTCAGTTATTTCTGATTATTAAAATCCTACTGCACCACTTCCTTCTGAATAAGTTCTTGCTAGCATTTTGCTTTTTATTTCCCAGATAGATCCAAGGTTCAAGTCCTGGGTATAATTTACTTTGAGGACTATTCCCTTTTCAGTCATGTTTTCACTCATGATATCAACCTTCAATTATTATTATTATATTTTAAAATGTTATTACAATTCTAATTTTTTTCTGTGTGTATGAAGGTGATACAAAGTCACATAAAATATTTATATGATATTCTTTATGATTAGAAATTACCTAACTAAATAGAACAAAATTTCTGTCTTTCTATTAACAAACAGTCAAAAACTGCTGGATGAATGATCACTAAATGGGGAGGGAACGTTTAGGATGATGTGATTTAAAATATAATGGTTTTCATCCTGTTAGAGTCATGTTTTGACAATAAGATCCTAAAGAAATTCAGACTGGGGGGCCCTGGGCAGCCATCCTCCTGGAAAGCTGAATGTGAAGGAGGGCGAGAGGCCAGGGTACTACTGTTGAAGGAGGCTTGCCAAACCTATGAAGACACTGAGGACAGCTTCAGACTTGAGCTGCAGATCTAAAGTCCCAGGGCCAATGCTTTGAATTGCAGGCTCAAGACCAGCCTCACATGTACACTACACATGGTCTGTTGCAGAGTGAGTGGTAGCAGGGATTCCTGTATTTGATGGTGATTTGGGGTTCTCTTGAGCAAAGCTGGGTTGACCAGCTTGTAAATAATAATAATGACAGTGACAACAATAATAATAGCAAAGCATTTGTCAAGTGTTTGCTCTCTAAGTTTGGTAGTAGGCATATGACACGTTGCTTCATTTAATCCCCACAAGAAACTTCTGAAGTAGGTGATACTATTATCCCCTTTGCAGGGATGAGGAAATACATTTGCAGAAGTTAAACAGTTTGTTCCCGGGTGCAAAGCTGCACGGTGGCAGAGACAGCATTTGAACCCATGGCTAGCCTTAATTCAAAGCCCTTGGTTTAAACACTGTGCTTATTTCTGGCAACAATCTTCCATGTAGTGGTCAGAGCAGTCACTCATCACTACAGCATGTTTTCCACTTTCTTAAAATATTACACCTGTGGCTCAAGCCAGTTGGCCTTGGTGAGCAGCCCCTTCAGGGGATGTTCTGAGTTATCTGATGTGCTGTAGCCCCTGCTTATTTTCTGACCTCCACCCCTGTGCAGCTCAGGCCACACTACTCCTCAGCCTCTTCATCTGGTGTTCTCACTTCCACCCCTCCACCTTCTGCTGAGCTGCTCCTGGAGCCAAGAGGAGCCTCCAGCTCCACTGCCAAATCCACCTCCTCCTCCTCCTTGCTTCAAGGCAAGTGGCACCCTGTCTTCCCTCCCATCAGGCTTTGCTCAGTGAAAACAAGAGGAGTTTCTTTCTTGCCTCCTAGAAGCCTTTATTCACCTCTTGTACCACTCTCTGAAGTTGATACTTCACCTATGGCTGCTCCAGCCATGTATGCTTAATGTAAGTGCTTATTATTGGTCCTGTCAATCTCTGGGGCTGCGAAGGTAGGTGCAGATTTAACAAACATCCATTGTTTGTGACAGGTGTTATTCTACTATGTCCCAATGCTCCAGATACTGAGGATACAATAGTTTCAAAGGCATGCAGAGGACTTTCCCTCATTCTAGCCCTCTCATTTCTGTGTTAGGGCATACACTCCCACAGGATAGTTCTGGAGACAGACTGCCTGAATTCACATCCCAGCTTTTCTACTTACAGCCTGTGTGACCTTGGCCAAGTTAGCTAACCTTTCTGTGCACCAGTTTCTAGTAAATTGGGAAACACTAATAGCATTTCCCTCAAAGTTGTTTAGAATTAAATAAGTTAATGCATATATTGAGAAGTATTAATATGTACTGAGAACTTACAGCATGCCACTATTCAAAATACATTCAAAGTATTTTGAATAGTGGCATGCTGTAAGTTCTCAATATATGTTAATTTTTTGGATTACTTTTTAAAGATAATTACACAAGTGGGTGGCAGAGATCTTCCTTTGAAAGTGTTCTTAAGTCTCTTGCTGTGCCTGCAATGGTGCTTTCCACAGTGAGTAACAGGGCCAGTGGAGGAAGAGTTTGTTTTAAGGTCAGAATGTATCTCGGGCCCCCTCAGAGCAAGCTGTGTTCACCAGAGTCTCTAGCCTCATTTTGATATCTATTTGAGGAAAGACAAATGAATGCTCAATGTCTTTTACTGTTTGTGTAAGACACATGCTTTAATTTCCAGGAAACAATTCCCAAGGTTTTCCCATCAAAAACACCCTCTGCCTCAAAGAGAAATGACAAGACTTACCTTGATTTTTCAGTGGTAAAGGCATAGTTTCCCTGAGTTTGCTTAAAAGGTTTTTCATTTCTCGCATGTCTCTGTAAAGTTGATAAAAAGACAGAATAATCAGTTGTAAATTTTCAAAACGAAATCTCAAACAATCTGTTCTATGAGACAACTGAAGGATGAGAGTCTGTGTCTAATTGTACTAGCTCTAGTTTGTACTAGGCAAATATTGAATTTATTTTGCTTTTACAAGAAAAAAAAATCTGAGATGGGTTGGCTCAGGAAAAAATGAGAGCTACTCTGCCAAACATTTCTACAGGGCATTCTTCTGTAGGAGCCCTCATCTCTGCCTCTAGTCTGACCTGGCTGAGATCAGAGAAGAGCCATTGGTCACGAGGACAGTGCTTAAGCTTTATAAAGAGAGGCCAAGGATGTACAACTGGAGCAACAGGGCAAACTTGAGGAATGGGTGATGGTGCTATCCAGGCTTTATGGTCAGAGGACTATAATGGCTGTGTATATTCACTTGCTGTTATTTGCTTGTTTTTCAAAATTTGTATAAATTTAAGGGGTACAACTGTAGTTTTGTAACCTTGACATATTGCATAGTGGTGAAGTCTGTGTTTTTTGTGCATCCATCACCCCAATAATGTGCATTTTACCCACTGAGTATTTTCTCATCACCCATACCTTATCACCCTTCTGAGTCTCTGATGTCTATCATTCCATACCCCATGTCCATGTGTACCCACCATTTAGCTTCTACTTCTAAGTGGGAACTTGTGCTATTTGGTTTTCTAAGTTGCTTCATTGAAGACAATGGGCTCCAATTCCATCTTCTGCTTGGTTTTAAAAGTCTCTTATTACCATGATTAGAATTCAGTGTAACTCAGGTATTAAGCATTCACCAGGGCCAACACTTATTAAATTGACTTGGAATAACAAAAGAGTAACAAATTCTAAAACTTCCAGAGAAGAACTCCTTACAATGGCTGAAACAGAAGGGGGTGCAGTATGAGAAAGAGAGGGAAAACCACCCCACCTGGGGACAGCTGGGCCTTCCTCTAGCAGGGACCCGTCCCTCCACACTTCCTGACTTCAGCTCACAGCATGCCGTGCCACTGCACACATCCAATATCTTCCCTCATCTCAGAGCATACGTGGTCATAAAACTCCCGAACTGTAAAGCAGGAAGCCTTCTCAGGAGGCTTCTAGTCTAAGGTAGGGGAGAACTGACCTTGTGAAACCCTTGGCACAATGGTTCCTACCCATGTCCAGGTAGTTGTGCATTGAAGACAGTGCACTTGAAACCACAGGATGCAGTGGCAGATTTCATTTAAAACAGCCAGGAACATAATTTGGTACAAAAAGCAGATGCATCTTTTAATTAACTGAGGATAGGTAAGCATTGGCAGGTACCATGGGTTTAGGAAAGTTTTGTGGGGAAGATCATCCTAAAGTTGAAGAAATTGTACTCATTTATTTTTCTTCTGGCATCTGAGGAAAGACAGTCACCATTTAATTTTAGGTATGAAACCCCTCAGTCCGCTTCACAAAACACTACTGTTCTGTTGAGCACGGTTTGAGGACCACTTTCTTAGGGTAATTCTGGAGACCTCATGGGGGCTCCTTTTCAAGTATTGACTGATATGTGAAGAGTAACTCAAGTCTCAGTAATAAGTGATTGGGAAAAAAAAGGGAAAGCAGCCTTGAGGATCTGCAGAAATATACCTGTAAAAACATTCCGGCTGGGTGCGGTGGCTCACACCTGTAATCCCAGCACTCTGGGAGCCCGAGGTGGGTGGATCATGAGGTCAGGAGATCGAGACCATCCTGGCCAACATGGTGAACTCCTGTCTCTACTAAAAATACAAAAAAAATTAGCTGGGCATGGTGGTGCATGCCTGTAGTCCCAGCTACTTGGGAGGCTGAGGCAGGAAAATTACTTGAACCCAGGACGTGGAGATTGCAGTGAGCCAAGATTGTGCCACTGCACTATAGCCTGGATGACAATGCGAGACTCCGTCTCAAAAAACAAAAAACAGACCATTCCAAATCCACTCCCATGGGTGTGAGGTGTGAGGATGTGTCTATGGGCTGCATGCTGATCAGGTGAGAGAGGAGGGCAGGAGAAAGGAAACAGGGCCCCACATCCACAAATGCAAAGCACAGTCTGTTTTCATTTAAGATTTCAAAGGCAGTTGGAATCGGTGAGAAAGGGCTAGGAATGCAACATGGGGGATTGAGGCAAGGTCTCCTCTAATAAAGCACCCATTCTCCACTTGGCTGTGCACAGGAGAATCACCTTAAGCCCAGGTCCCACCCCAACAGAGTCTGATTCAGTTGCCTTATAGTGGCACCAAGCGATCAGTATTTTAAACATTCCCTCATGATGACTTAACTGTATAGCCCAGTTTGAGACCCATGATCTCTCAAGGCAGAGAGCCAAGGAGAACTGAGTTAGCCACATCCCAGACCAGGTCCACTGTGCCTACTTCCATTTCCTTTGACCAGAATCTGGGCTTTCAGGCTGAACTGAACCATTGCCAACACTGGGCCATAACTATCCTACTCTTACCACCATCCCTTCTTATAAGCTTATAAGGCTTAGATACAGCTGCTGTCCAAGGTTTGCAAAGGAAAATGGCTTTGCTGATGGTTTATGCCCTGATATGGCATTTCAGCAGATATATTTTTTTTCCCTAAGAACAGAGCTAAGAATTTTCTATTTTATAAATTAAGATAAATCAGTCCCTCATCATTTGTCTATAGTGCAATCAAACTGTGCCAAACAGCTTTATTGTTTGAATTGTTGTATTCCAAGCTTATACAAAATCCAAGTTTTATTAATAGCACATAATTACCACATGTTCCAATTTTCTATAAACATAGAAATTTGGTAATTAGCTTTAGAATTATATTACAATCTGAAAGTAGAACCACAATGGCTATAAATGCCATTGTGTGTTATATTTCTAAAAATAAAAAAAATAAAATGTTCATTATCTTGTCAGTGACTCAACCTCATACACACAGAACACTCAGTGGAACTGCCCAGTATTCATTTAGCTGCTTGGTGCGAGCTCTGGGGACATTAGTAGCAAAGGGCACAGATATCAGTGTAAAGGCAAATAAACAAGAGCCTTATCTTACTGCCTCACAAAATGTCATTTTTAGCATCTAGATAGGAAAAGGTATTTATTATAATATTATTATTACTCTCTTTTCCAAAATAAAACAAAATTACTGTAGAGTCTCTTCTTTTCAGGAAATAAACTGCCTCTCTAGAAGTGAGCTACTGAAGTTAAGACAATGCATTAACTTGCTTTGACCACTGAGGGGCCACCAGCCACCTTATGGAGAGTAAGGGAAGGGGGCCCTGGGAAAAGCCCTTTGTGAAATGGACAGAAGGTTTAGCCCCCGAATGGCAGCTAAGCAGGCTGTTCCATATACCTGAAATCTGAGACTCTACTGGAGGCATCTTTGTGTAATTTTGGATTTTCTCCCTTAAACAAATGGGAATTTTGGGCACCAGCCCAGTAGGTGAACTGTGACAACATGTAGACTTTCTCCCCTCCAAGGCAGCACACTGTTCTCATTTTCCACAGAGATACAATGTGTTGGAGTGGGAGAAGCAGAGGCCTGGGAGCCTGCGCCTACTGTGGGTGCTGCTAGTGTTCCTCCGCAGGATTTGGACTGCTTACCCTCTCTTGTCTCAGTTTTCTTGTCTGCAGATTAGGCAGTCTTCAGGGTCCCTGCCAGCACTCTGCTCCTCTGGCACACCAAAGAAAGCACTGTTTTTGAGTCTGAACTAGAAAACCTTGTCTCTCTGTGGCTCCTAAGAGCATTAGCTGGAGGAGGATTGGCAGCCTATTCAGGGTAACTTCCCACTTACCTTTCAGTGTTCTCAATGTCTGTGGAAACCTGCCAGGAATGTTGCTGACTATCTATGGGGGATGATGAGGAGTCTTCTAGGGCAGGTGTTTCAGCACTTTCCTCAATTTTGCAATCCAAACTCTTGGTTCCTCCACCAAGTTCCTTTCCTAAGAGAGGGAGGGTGTTGGTAAAGAGAAGAGGAATAAGAACTCATAAATGCAGGTTCTATACACAGGATGTCATTGCAAAGGTTGGCTATACATTGAGTCAAATGCTCCATTAGCCCTCACAACTTTCTTAGTAATAAAATAATTATATATACATGTATGAGTGTGTGTGTTTGTGTGTGTATGTATGGCATGTCTTCACAACATTCTGGAAAGACAGCATGAGGTCAGTGCAACCTAAAAATCAAGATAAAATTAAGGCCTCTGTCTTTGGTAGATTATTAGTGTTTTATATCCCATTCTTAGTGAATTAGATTAAGTTAGCTCAGGAGGAGGAAATTAGCTTGTGAAATCTACTGGCTTTTAGTGCTTCGATGCAGGGGCAGGTAAAAGGGCCAGGAACAGGTGACACCCAGCAGAAAGAATGAGATCCCCTGCTGTTTTCTCTGATTCTAAACACTGGCCCTCTCAGCTTGCAGCAGGGATCATGCAGCTGCCTTCCAATTCCTTGGCTCTCCAGTCTCCTTCAGCACATCTTCTATGAGAAGAGAGCCCGACCTTGATTCAGCCTTACACTGCCGAGACCATAAAGTACCATCAACTCAAGTGTGAACATCATGTGCTGGGTAGCCGTCCACAGCAATGCACTGCATACCCACTAAGACTTGTATTTACCATGATTGACCTCAAGTGAATAAATCAGTACTTTCTAGAAACAAATGTTCAAACTGGTTCAGCCATAAATTTATATGAAATTACATAGAAAGTTGTGGTCTATGGCCTAGGCATAATCTCTGAATGTCTTTTATTCTTTTTTGAAAATCTGTGCATTCACAGGGGGTATCCTAGTACCATGGAAATGGTCAATGAGGCCTGAGAACTGAATTTTAAACCTGGCTTAATCATTTGTTCATTCACTCACTCATTCATTCATTTATTTACAAATATATCTTGAGTGTCAGCTACCAGCACTGGGATTGATGCTAGAGATAAAGAGGTGAAAGAAAGTGTCTCAGGAGCTTACAGTGCTAGAGTTAAACAACAAAAACATTATACAAATAATTACAAAGCTGTTGTATAACATTATGTAGTCTGGAAAAAGGATAACTATTATATATAGTTTTTTCTTCCTTTATCCAGTTTTATTTTTATCATGTAGATATAACTCCAGACTAGTTGTTAAGCAACTCTTACAGCCCGTATCATTTAACATTCTTGAGGCCGTGGCTGTATCAGCTCACCTCTTAGCTCAGTTTTCCTAATCCTGCTGTGATTGTTTTGCATTAACAAGAAAACTAACGAAAAAATGAAACATACAAACTTGTGAAGAGGATGGCTGCTCACGGTAAAATCTAACAGGAAGTTTTTTCCTTGGATTCCTGCTGGAGGGAAGTAGCAAAAATCTCATCCTGCAGTTTCTAACCCATGTGGTAATAGCACAAGGAGAAAGAGCGAAGCAATTAATTGGTTGTATGCCTTTCACCAACCTATAGTAGAAATCAACTTCTGGACATTCAGCTAGAGCACATGTACAAGTTTACTGATGAGAAATTTTGATCCTTTCTTGTGTGCTTTATGCACATTGATCCTGGATGATGGGACTTGCCTGAGGAATTGTTTTTCCAATTTTATGGTATGCTCTTGCAGGGATGTTAATTAAGCACATAATTTAGCACATTACCATTTCACAGTTGGAGGGCATTGACCTCTTAAAAGCATTTGCATTTTGCCTCCTGGCAGAGTACGGCAACTGCAGTGAGTCTACCAGCCACATATCTCTAGGCAGGGTCAGCCTTAGGATGTGAGTCTGAACAGGGGTAGCTAAGGGGAGGGGGCAAAAACAGGGCTCCCCAAAACAGTCCTCTGCTTTTCAAAACCTGAAGGCTTCTGTTACACTCCTGTGGGTTGGAAATGCCTTGGGGAATGGATTATGGTTTGGGCATCAAAGAGGAGGAGGGGAAGAAGATTCACCAGAATTCTCTGGTTCATGGGCTTTGGGGCCATATTATTCCCTGTCCTGTGGTCCAGGATAAGAGCCTGAAGCTTTTATCCCAATGGAGACAAGGGAGGACAGTGGGAAATGTGATATTCCTGGTTGGAGTCCTCTCTCCACCTCCCTCATATTAAACCTTTTACATGCAAAGCCATAAATGGAATCTAGTTGACAAACTTTTGATTATACTTACCACCTGCGATTATTCTGCTACTTACAAGACAAATGCCTTTCCGTAACTTTTTCAAAGTAAAGCATCATTTTAAGGATTTCAAAGATCCTGAAACAGCCCTATGGGCTTGTGAAGGGAGGTAATAACTACTTTTCCTATTTTCAGTGACTTTTAGATCTAACTCTGCTAAAGTAGCTGAACCAGAATGGAAACCATGAATGTTGGCCCTCAGTTTAGGGGTTTCTGTGAGCTCACAAAATCTCAGCAGAAGTTTGATATAGTATCTTCTTAGCTAACATGCCTTAAAAGATAGAAAAGATCAATATGGATTTAAAAGGTTTTCAATTCCAGAATGTATGTGGTGTCATGTTTACTCTGCAAGTGAAGTATAATTGCTCTCATTTACCAATAGTACTGGACTTTATGTTAGGATCCCTTTTCACCACATTACCTGTTTATTGCCTTCATAGAAAGATCCTCTATCAGAAATGATCTTGCTTATGTATTTGGTTACTAGTTTATTGTTTGCCATTCCCAGCCCCACATTCATCTCTCACTTCCAAACTTTGTAGATAAACTCTGTAAAGTCAATAATTATACCTGTCTTCTTCAATTCTGTAAGTCTACTGCAAAAGACCAAGGCTTACACACAGTAGGATCTCAATAGACACACAGCATCAAAATATGTAATTATACTATATATGTTACACAATCTGCTTTGCTACTGTAGTCTGGCTTAGAGATATTTTCATGTTAGTGCATTTTAATTTATGGACTGCTTTCTAATGGATGGGCAGTCTTCCATAATAAGGAATTTAGGTTGTAATTTTTCTCTTTTTCCACAATATGCCAATATAAAACAGATCCTTTGAGGCAGAATACTGAGACAAAGTATATGTACGCACATTTTACGTTTTAATATATATTGCCAAATTGGCCTCTGAAAAGGCTATGCTAATTTATACTTTACGTCCACCAGTGATAAACCAGAGGGCCCATTTCCCCACCTCTTTTCCAGCACTTCATATTATCAACATTTAATTTTTGCTGACCTAATGGGGAGGAAATAGAATCTCATTGCACTTTTATTTTTCATTTACTTTGTTTGTACTGAGGTTAAACTTCTTTTCTTTTTTGTTTTCTACTTTGTTTTTTAAAAGAATTTAAGTTCAGGGGTACAGGTTCAGGTTTGTTACATAGGTAAAAATTTATTTTCCCATGTTTAATTGACCACCTTTGTTTGTTCTTTACATTTTCTATTTGTATCAGTTCCCATTTAAACAATGGGTTGCCTTTCTTATTGATTTGTAGGGCTTCTCTCCATATAATGGGTACTGATTGTTTGCTATAATATACTGTTTATATCTCTTACTCTGTCATGTCTTTTAATTTTGTTTGCAATGTATTTTGTCAAAAGTTAAATTTGTATAGTCAAAGCTGTTCATCTATTCTTTTATGTCTTTTGGTATTATGTCTTGCCTATATTTTCTTCTAATACTTGCACAGCTTTGAAATGTTCAGTTCTGTAATTCATCTGTAATTTACTTTTATGTATGGTATGATATAAGAATCTAAATTTTTAGCTCAAATGAAGAGCCAATTGCCCCAACAGCATCTACTGACTTTTCTATTGACTTTGCTCTTTCTAATTTATTAAGTGCCCACATAAATGTGGGTTTATTTCTGGATATGCTATTTTATTTTATTTTATATTTATCTATTTATTTGTTTATCCTTGTGTCAATTCCACGACATTTTAATTATTATGTTTTTAGTATTTGGTAGAGAAAGTTCTCCTTCAGTGTACTTTTTCCACTGAAATTTTGAATCCACTGCAATAAAACTATAAATTACTATCATGTGAGACTTTGATCTTTATTAAAGCATGAATCATTGATTACTTTTTAAGCATTGTCTAGGTTTAATGGTTTATTTAAAATTTTTTCTCTTCTTAAGTTAATTTCGATAATTCATTCGTCCTAGAAAACCATCCACTGACAACATTTTTAATAGTAGAAAGTTGAATATGGTTTTCCCTTGTAACTGTTTCATACCCTAATGCTGTTTATTTATGGCTCCTGATTTCTTTGTTTACCACCTTTTCTTGGATTTCAAACATATCTTCCTCTTTCTCGAATTCAGTTTTTATTTTTGGAAGCATATACTTGACTAATTACTTCAGAGGAGACCTGTAGAATACAAAATTTCTTAGTTTTTACATGACCAAAAATACATTTTCTTCTTTTACTCTCTCTCTCCCTTGGTGCTCACACTTAGATTCTAATTGGCTGGATATATAAATTCATTTTCAAACTAAGTTTTTCTAATAACTAGTATGACATTGTTCTTTTCTCTTTTATCTATACTTAGGGATGCACCAAATTTTTTTAAACTTTGATTAAATATGGTTCAATACAATTTGATTCTATACTATTATTTAATATATAGTCTATATTTAAATTTCCCCAATGGTTTCAATAAAATACTTTCTCATCTCTTTTAAAATGAGGGGTCCATTTAGGGATTATGCACTGCATTTACTCTTTTTTTTTGAGACAGGGTCTCACTGTGTCTTCCAAGCTTAAGTGCAGTGATGATGATAGCTCACTGCAGCCTTGAACTCCTTGAGATTTCACCTTGCTTGCAAATTAGGCTATTGTAGTTTCATGGATGCTGGAAGAAGACATGAGATTTCCGGGTCAGATACAAAGGTTGTTTATTACTCACAGAACAGCAATAGCCAGAGGATCAGCATTTGTGCTGGTTTTTTGAGTCCTAATTCCCACAGTGAGGTGCAAAAGGGCCAAACAGTACTTGCACTCACACTGGGCTGTA